CGCGCGCGCGCGCGCGCGCGAATGTCGCATTTATTCTCATTTTACTTTTCCTGTTCTGTCATCAGTTTCCACGAAGGCACTGGCTGGTGCGAAGAGCCTCGGTGGGTTTTTGTACAGCGCCGTGAACAAGGCCGGGAAGACCGTGGTGGAAGCCAGCGCGAAAATCAAGAAGACCGTCGAAGAGAACGTGAGTTTTTTTTCTTCATTGTCACTATAATCTTATAAACGCACCGATCGATCCGGTTTTAATGACTCTTGTTATCACTATCGTTCAGACGATTTTAATCGGATAATGAGATATCCTTGAGATTTATTCGAGATACAATTTAGTATCAATCACTTTTAATAGTGATACATTAATTGATAAACGAATAATTTACTATAAACTTTGTTCAAAGATAATATATAACGTAGATGCAACAATTGGTCTATTATTATTAACCTATTATTTATGTTAAACCTACATTCATTTGTAACGATTGCAAATTGATGTGTTAGTCATACACCAACTTCTGGGAATTGATCGATAAGTGTTTTGCTGTAGTTTTTACTTCGAACTACTTCTTTTTTACTATAACTGCAGAGCTATTTATGCGCGCTCGTTTCGTACCGTTACGTGCACAAGCAAATTGATAACAGTTTTAATATTCTTGCCGCGTATTATTCGATGTTTTCGTGCATCGAAACATGTGAAATTTTTACATTGTACATTTGCCGCTCGTGCCACCGTCCTACGTGAGTATGGATAAATTTGAAGTATAGCAAGGAATACTAGAGAGAGATAGGAAAGCAAACTTATTTTGCAAATGTTTTCCCGCGGATGTAAAAAAAAAAAAACGGTATTTGCGCAAATATTTTCTTTTAGAAATAAACAAAATAAATGGCGAAAAAGAGTCGACGCATAATATATTTAATTAAAGATAATAGTCATAGATACATAAAATAAAAGGAAAACGGCGCATATTAATATATAAAACAAACAAGTTTCGGCTGCTGGATTGAGCCCTCCTCAGATGTAAAAAGAATATAATCCGAAAAGACATAAAAGATTACAACAACAAACAAAATAATAATAAATCAATAACATTCAGTGACGCAACATTTTTAACGCGCGGAAATCAGCAATTGTGATGGATCTCGACGTAGCCTAATGTTGTATTTATATGCGATGGGGCAATCAAACCGATGTTAAGAAACATAGTCAAGTGCTAACTGAAAAACGGAAAAGGAAGGGAACTCATAAGAAACAAGTAAACAACTTAAAAACTGAAAAACTAAACACGCCGCAGATAAGAAGCAAAGTGCTCACTCACCAACGTATCCGAACAGGAAATGAGAACCGCCGCAATGCATGACAGGTGTGAAAACCCATGGCAATGATAGGGATGTAATCGTCGAAGTCAGACATGTCAACATCGCACGTGACACCGACCGCTCGCTAAAACGGAACGCGACGCACTGAGAGAGGAGACGGGTCGACAGGATCGAAAGTCAGACTTTGTTTATAATCGGCAGATATGCCTTATTAAGACCCTCGGTGTCAGTCTGTAAATTAAGACTGTTCCTCTGTTTTTTAATATGTAGCATCTCCGAAATCAAACGCTTTCTATACGAAGGCTCCTCGTCTAATATCAGAACATTGTCCCATTGAAAATCTAAACTGTAAACTGTAGGCGCGGATGGAATGCATTAAATCGCTCTAATAACACATCGATCTGAGAGGGGGGCAACGCAGTGCATATGTCGTCAACGTATCTATAATAGAATAGAATGTCCAAATTCACAGACATCAAGGACACCGTCTCCAATCTCCTCAACACCAAGTCCGCTATCACCGGTGATATTGGAGAGCCCATGGGGGTGCCAAAGCTCTGCCTGTAAAAAAAGGCACCATCTTTTCATTAGTCGACAGAGCCTTTTTATTATCTGACGTTAGGTTTCACACAAAAAATTTGACCTCCATCATTGACATTTTACTTCTGAATGACTATCCACTAGACTTTATTTTTGACTCCATCAATCATAGGATCAAAAATTTGATTAGAAATAGACACAGATTATACGATACCGCGACTGACAATGACTTAACTAATAAGTCTACCTCTTGGCTTACGGTGCCTTTCATTCCGCTTCATACGGAGAAACTTAGAACTTTGAATAAAAGCAAAAGTGATATCAGGGTGGCCTTCCGCAGCCCTAACAAAATGGGCAAATACATAAGAGTCCAGAAGGATTCTTGTCCCAGCACATCGAAAAGCAACGTTGTTTATAAAATTTTATGTAATGATTGTGACGCTTCTTACGTTGGACAGACGGGCAGGCAATTAAAAACCAGGATTACCGAACATCGTAATCATATTAGACATAAAGCTTCTGCCCGCTCTGTCATCACCGATCATAGGTTGAGTCACAATCACGATTTTCAATGGGACAATGTTCTGATATTAGACGAGGAGCCTTCGTATAGAAAGCGTTTGATTTCGGAGATGCTACATATTAAAAAACAGAGGAACAGTCTTAATTTACAGACTGACACCGAGGGTCTTAATAAGGCATATCTGCCGATTATAAACAAAGTCTGACTTTCGATCCTGTCGACCCGTCTCCTCTCTCAGTGCGTCGCGTTTCGTTTTAGCGAGCGGTCGGTGTCACGTGCGATGTTGACATGTCTGACTTCGACGATTACATCCCTATCATTGCCATGGGTTTTCACACCTGTCATGCATTGCGGCGGTTCTCATTTCCTGTTCGGATACGTTGGTGAGTGAGCACTTTGCTTCTTATCTGCGGCGTGTTTAGTTTTTCAGTTTTTAAGTTGTTTACTTGTTTCTTATGAGTTCCCTTCCTTTTCCGTTTTTCAGTTAGCACTTGACTATGTTTCTTAACATCGGTTTGATTGCCCCATCGCATATAAATACAACATTAGGCTACGTCGAGATCCATCACAATTGCTGATTTCCGCGCGTTAAAAATGTTGCGTCACTGAATGTTATTGATTTATTATTATTTTTTTTGTTGTTGTAATCTTTTATGTCTTTTTGGATTATATTCTTTTTACATCTGAGGAGGACTCAATCCAGCAGCCGAAACTTGTTTGTCTTATATATTAATATGCGCCGTTTTACTTTTTATTTTATGTATCTATGACTATTATCTTTAATTAAATATATTATGCGTCGACTCTTTTTCGCCATTTATTTTGTTTATTTTATTTATACATAAAGAGTCTTTACACCGTTGTTATTTATTTTCTTTTTGCTTTTCTGCCCTTCGGAAATTCGTGAACCCGGTGATAGTTTTTTTCTTCTTTTATCGGCTTCACTGCGCTTTGTCGTTGTCGGCTCGTAGGATTTATTCTTTTGTAATGTACGGATTGATACATGTATAGGTATGTATTCAATCCGTGAATACGATGACCCATGAGAATTCGGTAAACACGTAAACGACAGCACTTCCGCATACGTGTTGTATAATAATTTTATATTTCGGAAATTAAAGCAACCTTCCCAAATGCTTACAGTCAGCTGACTTGTCTTGTCATGAACTTAAACTTGCAATATCGGGAATGTAATACTCAGTATATAGGTGAGTCAATAAGTAACTTTAATTTTGCCCTTAGAAATCAAGACATCGAGGTTACTTATTGACTCACCCAAGTATATACACGATACATTCAACGAAGTTCAAGTTGACATCTTGGAATAATAATTCAGTAAAATTCTCATAGGATTGGCTCTAGAGGGAAAACAATGCACGCAATACCTAATGAACATATCGCTACTTCTGTAATCGCTTTAAAAATCAACATGTCAAGTTCTTATTTATTGTGTCATCTATACTTAAACGGCTGTCGCCGACTGTGGAAACTCGTATCGATTAGAAAACCTGCTGTCGTTGCATTTGTGCATACATTTTGTACATATGTGCTAAGCAAGAAATGTTGATATTGACGAATTCTCTTGTACGATAAATTATTAAAAATGCGCGAATGGGCGAAATTTATTTCGCGTCCGTTCTTTTTCGAAATTGTGCAGACCGCTGACATGAACCGACAATGCGTCCAGCCGAAGAAACCACTTTTTCGTTTATACTCTGGTTACTGTGAATGGCTATTGGGGGTTTTTGCTCATTCGCCTCATGTATTTTTTTTTTTTTTTTCGGCCATTGAACGATACAAGTTCGCGATAGCCTAAAACGGCGTGCGAAATGTAGGTCTTTAAAGCGCACCGCTATGCGATTCGCACTGGGATTTTCACACGATGGATTTATCTATCACGGTGTACATTGCTTCGGAAAAATCAATGGATTCGCACTGTCAAATGGTTTCTCTTTATAATAGATTAATTCGTACCTGACATTTATAATGACCTCTACACAGAGAGAATAACTGAATTAATAATAATTGCAAATTAATAGTAATTGATTATAAAATAATAATAGTTTGTATAATTTGGTCGATATATAGGGGGATCTGTTATAATTGTTGCATTTACCTTAACAATATCTATTTTGGAAATTAACGAAAGGTCAAAACTTTTTATATATGATGAAAATTGTTGCAATAATTTTCAAATTATATGCGACTAAAGTGAATTGATCGGTATTACATAGTTTACTAAATCAAGTTTATTTTTTATTATTTTTTTGTTTATAGTTCAGATGTGAAATGATGAAAAGCCAATATATTTAAGCTGAAAATGATTAAAAATGATATGATATGTAGTATAGATAATTATGAGCATGAATAACTTTATGCGAATTTATCATTGGCCCACTTCGATTGTTTATCTCGAAATTTATTGCGACCTCGACATTTCCGTAATTGCAAATTTTCAACTTCAATTAATCTCTTCAGAAAAATATATTCCACTCCTTAGTCAAGCCTTCGTCAAGTTAATGTTTTTTATATTTATACGTTTAACAAATAAACAGTTTTAATAAATAATATGACGATAAAAGGGATGAGAACTATCGAATAGAGTCACAGTTTTCTCGGCTTCCTGTCGGGTACGTTTCTAATGGCAGTGATTTACCATTGTTGCAACCACTTGCACGTTCTCTGGTACTCACATGCACGTGACGTGTAATTTCTCAAGAGACCACGGTGCACCACGCGTACGCAGCATCCACTTGTCCAGCGATAGTCTTCGATTACGGTTTGCACCCCAGGGATACCCAATGTCGTTT